AGGAATGCCCATGTGGGTTTCCTCAGCCCACCTTGCCAGACTCTCGGAGACTTCCTGGTGGGTGCGTTATCCTACTGGGGAACAGGCTGAAGACCAGTCTGCTTCTCCACGGCGTACCGCTGTCTCCCTCCAGGTCAGTCAGAGCAGACCAACAGGCTGAATGGGAACAAGACCATGTAACTGATGACACCGGCTTCTAGGGACAAGAATGAATCTTGGCTTCGTGCTATCCTGGCACAAGTTTGGTCTGATATCTCCTTGGAAGCACTACATCTTAGGATCAGTCCCAGCTGGTTCGAAGCTGGACTTGATGTGCAGTGTGTTAGGGAAGATGAATAGTGGGAGTTGCCAGAAGGATGGCAGTCATCCCTGAATAACAGGGTAGGAAGGGATGAGATCCTGGCCATGCTTGCAGGCTTGTATTAATGTGGAAGTTCTGGGCTACTCACTGCTGCCAGTACCACTTTCCCCCATCCCTCCCTACCTTCGTAGGTAACGTGCCAACCAGAGCTGAGCTATCTCCTTTCTTTTTAGACTGAACGTGAATAATATCCAGGAGACTTGCCAGAAGAATGCTGCCTCAGCCTTGGCTGTGGGACGGAGGGATCTCGTACAGGTATTATGTTGAAACAGACCTCTTCCTCAGCGTGCTGTGCTACCCTCAAATGGCTTGTGCTGTCACCTTGGTACGCCAACAGCCACCAGGGGTCAGCAGTTGTTCCAGGGAGTCTCTGGTTGGTGAACCAAGGCCCGTGGAACAGCCACAGAGGTGGTCTCTACCTCATTGACTCTTGGCATCGAGAGAGTCCTTCCCAGGGCTGCAGGCAGATTGTGTTATGCCCTTTGCCAAACTGAGGGAAGCACATTTTTCAGGGAATTCCTGCAGGCAAAGCGAGGAATGCAGCCTACTTTTGAGTCAGCAAATGGAGTGACTGTGCACACAGTTGCCTAGCTGCTGTCAGCATTTTGATCGGTGATTTTGTCTTACTTATGTAATCGTTCCCATTGTTTGGTATTCATCTGCACTGGTGCTGGGTGCTAACTGCAGCTAGCTTCTCCCCGAGAGAGTCTGAGCCCTGGGACCCAGCCCTAGAACAGAGCTGGCCCTTACCTTCAGCTAGCAATAGGAGAAAAATGGCTATTTTGGCCCATCCTTTTCCATGTGATTAGTCCGTCGCAAGAGACAGAACATTTGACAGGACTCAGGAGTGCCTGAAAGAGATGGGAGCGGGCTGGCACTGCCAGAGGAGCCTGTGCACCTCTCCTGAGCATTTGGCTCTTCCTAGACCTGGGCAGGGAACATGCATAGGCTTACCTGATCCAAGCAGAAGCAAACTCAAGCTGTTGTCTTGCTTCTTGGTGGGTTCTGCTAGACCAGGAGAGAGAAGGTAGGTCTAGTTCCCCTTTGTCTGTGCTTCATCTTGCTGGCTGGTTTGTCCACATTGGACCAGAGCTTTGGTGGAATAACCTCAGCAGGATTTCTCTGAGATACCTCTGTTTCTTGCTTGTTTTTCCCTGTCCTATGTAACTCTAGCCTGTATTGCAGCTTGCCTTGTTCCTAGCAGACATGGAGGCTTGAGTTGCAGGTTACGTGTAAGATGTGCTCCATAGCAGTGTAGCAAGTGGTGTCTTTCCCATTTCCTTTCTGTGCTCTCTGGTACTCAGCCCTGTCCTTGTTTCAGTTTTTCTCCTGTTTCTTTCTCTCTAATTTCACAGTGAGCAGCTGTGGGACTACTGACAGGTCTGTTAGACTATAGACTGTTCTTCTTCAAAGTTTAACCCAAACTCAAAGCAAGTGAGACAGGGAAAGCTTCTATTATCTGTCTGTGAGTGAATTTGTGCACACCTATGCCCTGGGAGTCTGGTTATTTCTAATTGTAGCTTTGATGCTTTTCCTTCCTGTTTACCAGGTTTGGTCACTGGCCATGGTAGCCACTGATCTCTGTCTTGGACCGAAGTCTGACCCAGATTTGGAGATACCTTGGGCACAACATCCATTTGGACGCCAATTACTGGAGTCCTTGTAGGTGTCTGAATGCTGGGGAGGGACTGGGGAATGGTTGCTGAAGCAGAGCCCTCTGTAACTATGTATGTTGTAGGGCACCATTTCGGACTTGGAATAGTGCCACGGCTTGCATTTTTTTTTTTCCTCTCTCAAGCCTGAGATGCATCAAGAAGGGAAGCTGCAAGTGTGTTTATGACATGGAGGAGGCAGCATTTGGCCTCCCATCTAGCACCCAAGTCTTCTTTGGCTAACGTTGAGCAATAGGCCAGGTGCAGGTGGAGCTCTGCTTTCCAGTGTGCCCACAATGCCTGACTTGGGATTTTGGTTTTCTGCTCCCCACCTCCTAAATGAGTGTGTTGCTGCAGCTGATTTGTCCACCTTCAGATTCGCTGTTGCCATGTAGCATTACTGGAAAATCATTCCAACTGGTCTCAAAGCCAAGTGTTAGCAACAGCTGTCCTCCTGCCAGTGAATCTGTTCAGGAGGGGACATAATTAGTAATTGATGTTATCTGTTGATATGCCCTATTTGGAGACACAGGATTTGTGTAGTGTACTTTGTATACTATTGCTTGACCTAGCTCTTTCTTGCTATGTGGCAGCAGTGGGAGGGGAGCATAGGTTGTTCTTCGTCGCTCTCAGAGCAATCCAGGAACTTCACGGCCATCCAGAAAACTTGTGTTGAGGTTTTGCCTTGAAATATAGATGCAACATGCTTGCCTGTAGAGGGTTTTGTCAAAAAGACATTGTGGCTGGGGGTGAGTCTAATGGCTCCAGCTTTACATCCAGTTAAAATCAGTTCTGTGGACCTTGTTCCTGAAGCTGCACAAACTCAGGATAATCAGGCCACGAGTACTGCTGGATTCCCAGAGCTCCTATCTTTCTCCCACCTGTTAGGCCACGAGTGTTTTCAGAAGGAGGACTTGGCTCCTCAAAGGTGTGATGGAAAAGACAACCCGGTCCTGCAGAGCGCACATGCCTCCTGTGGGCCGTAATGTCACCCAAACTGATTTATGCAACAAGCTCGAAATTAGTTGCCCTGGAGTCTCAATGCTTTTGCCACTGAAGTCTTCCCAGTCTCATACTGTCTGTCTTTTTCATTTCCCAGGCTGGCTCATTATTCGCAGCTCCACGATGTGCAGACCCTGGCCATGCTGTGCAGCGTGTTTGAAGCCCAATCCAGGCTACAGGGGTGCCCAAACTCCTACGGCCCCTTTCCTCAGCGTGCCTCCAACCTGGCCTCCCACAGCCGATATGTATGACCGCCGTTGCTTTCTTAGTTGTCTTGGATATCTTTGAACATCTCTCATGTAGATGACATGATTTCCTCTCCTTTCCCCCTCAACAGCCGAGCTTTACTTCCTCTGGTTCCTGTTCCAGCATGTCAGATCCTGGACTTGGCACTGGAGGCTGGAGCATAGGTACTGAGACCTGGGTAGTAATCAGAGGAATCTGCCTCCTTTCTGGCCTAGGTTTTGGATGGTGCCTGTGGTGGGGAAAGAAGGGAGTTAGTACAGGCTGTGATTGCAGAGGTGCTCTGCCAGAGCAGCTTTCCAGGGTTTGGCCAACGTGATGTGACCCCATGGCTGGAACTGAGCAGGGCTTGCAGTAACTGTGTCAATGCTCCAGCAGTCCTGCCCCTTCTGACTTCTGTAGCATGCTGCCAACTGGGAAAAACTGTTACAAACGCCCTAGACATACCGAGCTAGGCCCCTGGATCGCAGGTTAACCCAGAGCCAAGAGCTCCCACTGCTACCTTTTCCAGCTGGAGACAAGTAAAGAGAGGGACCAGTTTGTACCATTCTGTTTCCAGCCTGGCTATAGCAAACAGTAGGGGTGGCTGCCTCGATGCTGCCTTGATGCTGTAAGCTTTCCACAGCCCTAGCGCTTTGCACAGTTTGAGGCTGTTGTCCATGCCGACTACTCCTGATAATTTCCTTGTCCTTCGTGTGCCTGGAAATGGCTCCCAGGATTAGCTGCTCCATCACCTGCCCAGGGATCGAGGTGAGGCTGACCAGCCTGCGGTTCCCTGGGTCCTCCTTGTCCTTTTTGAAGACAGGAGTGACATTTGCTTTCCTCCAGTTCTCAGGCACTTCTCCCAATTGCCATGATCGTTCAGCGATTATCGAGAGTGGCCTCGCAGGGTCATCAGCCAGCTAATTCCACAGAGTTCAGGGGAAAAAGCAATGTTGTGCTTTCTCTTCCCACTGGAAAAACAGCAGCGGTTGGGAAGGCTCGGTTCTCGGTGGCATGAATACCCACGGGCCTAAGGACGTTTTCTGCTGACTGTGAAGGTGTCAAAGACAAGTCACTCTTAAGGGCTCCAGTGTCAGAGTTGAAGCTGTTGCCTGATTCCTAGTGATATACGTGGCCTTGGGGCAGCATCAGCCCTGTTAGCACCAAAGCTGTAACTTTTCAGTGCAATATCAAGGCATCTGTGACATGGGGAAGAGTGGAGAATGGGAGTTAATGGAGCTGATGTTGTCTTGTAGCAGTTATTAGCAGTCTTCTCCCTGCCCCCAGGGCAATACCTTACATACAGATGCCCCTTTACGTAACAGCAGCCCTGGTGATGAGAGTCCTCCCTGTCTAGGAAAGAGGAGCCCAGGCCTGCCAGGGATAACATTCCCAAGCAAACTCCGTGGGATTGATTCCCTGGATACTTTTTGTGTAAAGTGGAAGGCAAAAGGGATTCCTCCATGTTAGATTTCTCTGCCTGATGATCCCCATTCCCATCCTGTCACCAGAAGTGCAGTAGGAGCACTGGCAAGTAGAGGTTGGCACTTAGTTTTCTGAGTCAGGGCAGTGTTTGTAGGAATGCAGAAGGTGATACGACCATGTCTTAGAGAGAAAACTGGGGTGTGCGAATGTGTGGTCTTCCATGTCTCCTTCCCCACCCCGGTTTTGACGAGGTCGTGCTCATGAGTGCTGTGCTTTCTGAGGTATGCTCACAACCTTTTGATGCTTGCAGCAAACAAAGACACAGAGCAGGCCTCCACTCCCTGGTGTGAGTCTTCTCCGGATGACTTCCGCTATGGAAACCTAATGTATCCCGATCATCGGGAGCGTGAGAAAGACCAGCATGAGAAAAACAAAAGGTAGGTTATAGCGTGCCTTGGGAGTATTCAGGGATGCGTCACTCTGTGCCCAAGTCATCTGGAACTCTCTAGCCAGGTCTCTGTTGATGCTGTGAGCACTAGAAGGGAAGTAGCACACCTGCTTCTAGACCTTTTCATTCAGACAGTCGTTTGGAGAAGCTTCGTACTGCAGATCGACTCTGCTGGGGTGGCATATGATACATCTGTAAGTGGCCATGGTGGGGGCCCCAGAGGGTAGTCCACCCATTCATCACACCCTTGAGTGTAGAATAAGTGAAGGCCAGACCAGTTAGTGTTCAGCAGTGTTTCAGCAACACAGGGGAAGTAATCTGCTGCTCTTCTAGCAATGTGAGCTGGTTGCATAGCCGTCACTGGGAAGAGGATTGCAACCAGAGTCTCAGAGAGTCAATCAGGTGGATGACACTGCTCTGTGTTCCTCTAGGCTCCTGGATCCTGCCAATACTCAGCAATTTGATGACTTTAAGAAGTGCTATGGAGAAATCCTTTATCGCTGGGGCCTGCGAGAGAAGCGGGCTGAGGTTCTGAAGTTTGTCTCTTGTCCTCCTGATCCCCACAAAGGAATTGGTGAGTCCCTGCTTCGGTCTGCTCCGGCTGCCCAGGCAGACACAGCTCTGCCTCAGGGGCTTCGGAACATGCAGTGGGATGAAAAGCGTCCATTGGATCTGTCCAGAAGTTAGGTCTGCCAGCAAATGGTTTTAGCTTCTTCGCAGCTCTGGGTGGAGATGATGCTTGCAGATGTTGGTTCAAGGGATTTGTAGACTGTAAAGTCTCTCCGGCAAAGCTGGAAACACACATACTGCTACGCGAGCAATGTTCAGCTCTTTATGCTGATGGCTCTTCTTTATTCCCTCTGAATAAGAGCCCAGACATGCACTGTCCTAATCTCTGATTCTGGGCTGAAGTGTTCTTAGCTGCACGCGTAAAATTGCACAATCTCTTAACTGTGGGTGAGCTAGCCAAGAAACGGGCAAATAGAACGTTTCTCCCAAAATATTTTCAGCAGCATAGCTGCCCAGAACTGCCACGTAAGGACAGCTTCCATCTTCTCCCTAGGCCTCTGGGAAAAGATGCACTCTAACCTGGGAGGAGAGAAGCGGGTGAGAGATGCCAGAGAATCAGCGGTTGCTTGCTTAGCTCTTGTTACAGTCTCACCTTGTCACCAGCGTCTCCTCCTGGGGAGTAACTGGAGTGAAAATTGGTGACTCCGACCACTGCCATTGCCCCTCCGTGGATAATAGTCACAACACTGATATAGTACCCATCGAGCGTGCTCTGTGCTCTCTCCCTGATGAGAAACAAAGGCCGTTCTCATTTACTCTTAGCTACACTTCATAGTGATGTGAGGCAGACGAGACCGGCGGGAAGCCTTCACCTCCGCAGCATGTGTCAGCGTGTCCCGAGCTAGGAATCTGACGCATGTTCCCAGCCAACAGCAGTTTAGCTGTCAGGGGAATCGGTGGGCCAGTCTGTGCCCCGGCACGCTGGTTGCCCATGTCTTTGCTCCCATATGGAGACCAAACTAAGACCTCTATAAGTCACCATTCTCCCACCCTGAAGGAGATTTGAGGCAGATCTCTTGGGCATTGGGTTCAGGGGACTCATCTGTCAAACGGAGGGTGCTGTATGCAGGGCTTCTTTGTCCATGATTCTGCCAGCACTAATAGTCTTGCTCTCCGTTTCTTTCCTCCGGCCAGAGTTCGGCGTGTACTGCAGCCACTGCCGCAGCGAGGTGCGCGGCACCCAGTGCGCCATCTGCAAGGGCTTCACCTTCCAGTGCGCTATCTGCCACGTGGCAGTGCGAGGCTCCTCTAATTTCTGCCTGACCTGCGGACACGGAGGCCACACCAGCCATATGATGGAGTGGTTTCGCACCCAGGAGGTGTGTCCCACAGGCTGCGGATGCCACTGCCTGCTCGAGAGCACCTTCTGAGCAGTGGTGACAGCAGGGCACCCGTGAACTGGACTTAATGTTTAATTCCCGAACCATGTTGAATCAGCTCTGCTCCACAGTGTCTGGAGGAGATGCCATGGGGAGCTGAAGCAGGATGTCCTGGCGGTGCGCTGCAGTGATGTTTACAAGTGCTTCCAGTATTCCTACGCTTCCCAAGTTGCTTTCAGACTGATTTGACCAAACTCCCTGTGTCCATTGCTGGCGATGGATGCCAGACCAGAAAAATTGCACACTCCTGCAGAAGGGTGTGTGAATATTGGCTAGTCTCCATTGGGATGAGGAGGTGTTAAAAAGCTCCTTTGGAAAAGGCTCGCCTGGCAGAGCCACGCTTGCTCCAGCTACGTAGTGTCTTTCCAGGTGCCTCCTTACAGGGGCTCAAAGTGAGCAAAATAGTTGTCTTTGCACAGTTAAGGCAGAAATAATTTGCAAACAACAGTGAGCTCTAAAGGCAAACTGTAAACTGCACTCGAAGAGCAAATAGTCCATGGGACTGTGACATGAGTTACTTTTGGAAGCCACAGGGTCCTTATCTTGAATGGCTGTTTACATCGTTTAGATTACCCCTTAAACCAAGAGAATGAAACTACGTTTTTCAGGATTACTTCCTAAGTAGCTTCCTACTCACTGGTCAGTACCTGCGGCTGGTGTGAGAAGCCCAGCCGTGTGCCCAAGGTCACTAGGATTAGTTGCTTTCTTCCAGCAGTTTTAGTACCATTATTCTTAAGGTGTCTCCATCTCCTGCTCGGACCGGGTGATAAAATGCACTTTAACTTGCCTGTCCCTGTCTTGTCAGTGACACGTCCTGGTGACTGGGAAAGGCATCTGCCTTTTGGATTTGGGATCCACGCAGTGTTTCCATGGATGGTGGCACCTGAGGGCGTTTCAGAAAGCCTTGGCTTCCTTACTGGGAAAACACAAGGACGCTTGCTCTGTGCAACTCCTTTTGGCTGTTTTCTCCAGGCTCTAGGGGGGGAATCAATGAATAATTTGAGATTTGCTGCCGGTGTGCTTGAGTGATGAGGCTCCTGAGCCGGAGAGGCAGCAATTTCTAGGGGAAAAGGGGTTTTGGAAGGGTGGTGGGATGCACGGAGGCAAAAGGTTTGTGCCTTTTCTCCTTGTGAAGCTTCAACTGGAGAATGTACCGGATCGATCCGTCTGCTTGGGGCTGCGGCTGCTGGGCCCTCCCATCCCGGGGACGCTGCTGGGCCCCTGCCTGCGTGGTCGTGTGCACACCCTGTGCCTCTCCAGAGCAGGCTTCAGCCTGAGCTTTGGTTTGGGGCAAATGTGTGGTCAGGGATGAGCGCGCTGGGGTTACCCCCCACCCCACGCTGGCGCTCATCCCTTCCTCCCACGCTTGCCTGCTCAGCAGGGCCACGTGCCGTGCCCGCTCCCAACCTTTGCGCTAACTCAGGCTGTGGGATCCTGCTGTGGAATAAACAGATGGTGTATCTTAAAACATTAAAACATTAAATTTATTTTTTTAAGTGCTGTTCTGATAGAACTTGGTGTTGCTGTGCTAGTTCTCCCACTGTGGGGAGCCCCTGGCAGCTCTCCCTCCCAGCGTGGCGGTCAGCATGGCACCCCCTGGCCCTCTCCCCGCACTCCAAAGTGGGGGTCCCCCTCCGGATACCTGTGCCCGGTGGCAGCAGAGACCTGCAGTAGCTGGGGGGCTCACCGGCTGCTGCTGGGCCCCCCAACCCTGGCTCTCGCAGCAGCTGCGTTTGTGCAGGGACGATGTGACAGCGTGTGGCACTGTGGTGCCATGCCAGCCTGGCAAGTGCCTGCAGGTCGTGATGCACCTCTTGCGAAAACGCAGCCGGGCGGTGTCTGAGCTGCTGGTGAACCAAACCCCGCATCCTGCAGTTTGGGAAGGCCCCGGGCACCGTCTGTGCCCCTGGCAAGCAGGCAGGCGCACCGGGGTCCTGCCCGGCGCTGCGGCGGGTGCTCCGGTGGGTGCTGCGCTGGCCCTCGGGCGAGGGTGTGCTCAGCCAGGAGCTGTGGGGAGAGGGCTCCCGGCCTCCGCCTTCCTACGTGACGGCCATTCAGCTCGGAAGTATTTTCATTTCCGTGCTTGAGTGCGCATTAGGTTGGAAGGGAAAGGAGACTTGTTATTTAAAGGCGACGGACTGTCAGATTGTGGTATTTATGTGTGTTATTACAGTTCATTACAGTCTATCTCCATAGGATCTGAATACCTCCAAGGTGGAGGGCGGCTGGCGCTTCAGAGGAAGGCGGAAAAGCACTTGCCATGGCTGTTCGTGCAACCCTGCACAGGTAGGTGGAATTTCTTCCCGGACGCTGCGAGCATTTGTCTCACACCCTGCAGCATGTGTGGTGGTTGCTTTGGGAGTGGTCTTGCTCAATGCAGAAGTGACTATTGCAAGGAAATAGGAATGCCTTATCCTCGCCTGCCTGCAGCCTGGCGAGAAGAGAAATGCGTTGCCTTCGCTGTGCTCGGCAGTCCCTGTCTGGAATAAATGATCAGAAATGGGGCGTGCTGCTGCACTGGTGACCCACACCAGCCCCTTCATCTGCTCTGCCCCCCAACTGCTTGTCCTCTTACCTGCCTGCTCTTTGGAATAACTTGGTAAAGTGCCAAAAGTTCCCAAATCTGGCCAAATCTCACTCTGAATTTCAGGCCTTAGAGAAGGGAGCAGGAGGGGGAGAGGAGGCAGACGCTGGTCGGGAAGCAGGTCTCAGCACAGAGTGTGCCAGCGCGCATCGAACCGGCTCCGGGGGCGTAAATCAAATAGAGCATCCAGCTGAAGGGCAGCGCCGTAGGCCACAGTCCGTCTTGTGTGCCGGGGAGGCGGGTGACCCCTTCGTGGTTTCTGCCAGTGCAGGAACTGGGGGGCATCGAACTAAACTGGCCGCTCGGTGCGAGGCAGGAGCGCGTGCTTCGCAGGCCGCGTGGGACGGGTGTGAAACCGCTGTCCTCGAGGCGTCAGTGGTGCCACGGGTTTGCCGGGCCTCCAGGAGCGACCGGGCACTTCCAGGGAGGGAAGATCCATCTCAGACCACCACCGCTGCTGCTGGCCAGAGAGCCCTGCCTGCGCATCCCCAACCGGCAGCGCTCGGCGATGGGGCCACCACACCTCCCGCCTGCTCTGGCACCCTTCTCTGCCCGTCGCTGCAGAGGAGGATGCCGAGCGCGGGGGGCCTTTGGCCCAGCCCCGAGCAGCTGCTTTGGCAAGACTCGCTTCACCTGCCTGCTGAGCGCATCCCCAGGGCTGCGAGCAGTGCATCCACTCTGGCTTTCCCAAGGATGGCTGGAGGAGAAGGTTCCCACGACAGCCCACGCTCTGCCCTCTGGGCCACCGTCAGCTTTTCTAAACCCTTTTTGGGCTCCGCAGAGCTAGCAGGGGTGTAACGAGTGTGGGGTGCCTTCCCCGTCCCCGCTGAGGCTCCTCATATATACAGAGAAGGAAGTTTAATCCCCTGTGATCAGTTTGGCAGAAAAACGAGGCATGATGGTATCGGAGGAGGTGCCAAGGGAAATCTTTCCCTGTGGCTGCGGCTCCTCCAAGTGTCTGTATCGGACCCCTCCTCCTCTGCGGAACAGCCCCATTAACCCTGCGTCCGCCTGTGCCAGCGCTGCAGGGCCTGATCCTGCCCAAAGCCCAGCGGCGTTTTTTTCCTGATCCTGCCCAAAGCCCAGCGCCGCAGTCCTGCTGTCTCCCTTGCACCGGCCCCAGCGTCTGTCCGTCTGTCTGGTGGGTAAACCAGTTCAGGAACTGATGAGCCAAAACCATTTGGCTGCTCTTGTTTCGGCCAGGCTGATCATCAGCTGGCTCCGCTCCCTGATGCTGCTCGCCCCGGGGGCCGGCACAGCACGGGGACGGTGGTGGGGACCGGTGGCCATCGGCAAAGCCCTCTGCAGCTGACTTGGTGCTGTTATGGCAGCGTCTGCCGTACAGCTGGGTCCAGCACCATCCCTCTCCCCCTGCCATCAGTGCTCGGTGCATCCCTGCTCCTGGGGGTGACGGGTCCCCCTGCTCCCCCATCTCCATCCTCACGGCAGAGCTGGGGGTCGCCCTGTCCACCCTGGGGACGCCCCTCTCCCTTGCGTGGGGGACAGAGCCCCCACCACGCAGCCCGGGAGCCGTCAGCACCCTGGAATGAGGGCAGGTGGGGTGTCAGCTCACAACAGGCTCGCTGATGTCCCCGAGCCCTGCCGTGGTGGAGCTGGGGACGGCAAACCCCGCGTGCTCGGGAGAGGACAGGAGCAGAGACCCACCGGCGCACCCAGCAGCTTTGCACCCTGTGCCGTGCTGGGGAACCCGGGGCTGGCGAAGGCCAGATCCCTCCCTGCCCTGAGCTGGGACCACGAGCGAGCCCCCAGTGTGGCCCTTTGCAGCGCAGAGTACCCAAGGGACCTGGACACCCCAAAACCCAGGCGTGAGGTGCATCCCCCCAGCTCCTGGGCCATCACCATGGCGCCCAGCCTGCCCTCCCTCACCCTCCTTGCCCGCGAGGGCTGATCGAGGCGTGGGTGGGAAGGGAAGGAAATGCCTTTCCCTGGTTTCGCCAGCCCCTATGGCTGCGGGGAGAGGCCGGGATAGACCGGGAAGCGCTGGGGCCTCTGCTTCCACCACCGCCGTGGCTGCGGGATGCCATGGCAGGGCTGGGCCACGAAGGACATCCTGGACCCACACCACTGGCAGGACCGGCCAAGGCGGCAGGGAGGTGGCACAGCTGGTGGGGACGGCGTGGTGGGGTCATGGCCGGGGGTCCCCTCTGCCTCCCCTAGCCACCCCACCATGGGGTGGTGGCCATTGCGCCCACCCCGGGCACGCTTGAGGTCTGGGGTGCCCACCCGGTTTGGCATGTGGGTGCAGTGGCCCCCGGCTGAACGCCCTGGCTCACCTGGATCCGCCTCTGTCCCCACCTCGCCCAAAAAACCTTAATCCCCACCCGGGAGCCACCCTGCCGCACTGGAGGGCTGAGCTCACCCACTGGGACCGGCGCCACCCCAGGCTGCGGAGGGCGTTGGGAAAGCCCCGCAGGAGAG